TTATGATCATTTGAAGATTTGATGAAAGTACGCTGCTATATAGAGAAAGTCAACAAAAATCAAGTCAACGGTCAAACCTTTGACTCTCACGACGTGAGGAATGTTGTCTAACGACGTGAGCAACATGGTTCGATGAAAACATGTGGCGAAAGAGCAGGACACGTGGCAGAAACCGGTCTAAACACTTCTCATGATGTGAGAAGTAAATGCTCACGATGTGAGCAAGCTCAGACTATAAAAACGAGTCTTTTGTGTTATTTTGGAGGATTTTGGCTCGCGGGAGGAGAGATGAAGCTCAAGAACTATTCTTGGGAGTCTGTACCGGAGATGTTATACCATCATACGGGGGATTCGGGTTGAGATATGAGATTTGTTGAGGTATATTTTACCCCGTTAATTAGTTATTGTGATATGTGATTACTATTAGATATATTAAACCCGTGTAAGGGTTATGAGTATTTGCGATATGGAGCTATTATGAATCCGTTGGTGAGACTAGTGAGAATCTCATGATTAGATATTGAGTATGCTTGATTAGGGTTATAAACCTATTACCCGAGAAATACCCGATATGAGAGATTTAGCCACGGGCTTACGGGTTTAGCATATTATGATAATATTATGATATTTGGTTATTATCGTTATAAGAGGTCACATGGTATAATTATTAGTGAGTCTGGACAGGTTCTGAGGAACTTGTTATTTGATAAATAGGTGTTACCATGTGACGAACTGATAAATAGTGGAAAAGCAAAGCTGAGATTGGAATAAGTCTATCGACTAACAAGGTGAGTAACACTACTCTAACATCCAGTGTTGTGATAATTATGATAATTATCACATAATTGATTATTAATTAGAATATTAATTTTTGATTGAGAGATTGAGAAAATGTTGAGAAATAGATTATAGATGAGAGATTAGATTATATTAATAGATCAATATATGACCGATATATATTATGATTGGAAGATATAACACATTTGATATATTGGTCATTGAGTATGAGATTTAATATGGGTGAGATACTAATTAATGATTGGACTGGTATTTGAAAAGATTACTACTGAATAGATGAATCATTTGATGAAATGATTACATATGTGACAATTATGTGGGATATAGATGATTTAAATTATTTATATGATTTATGATTTATTTGATTATGTTTTAGTAGTTGTTATTCACTAAGCCGTGAGGCTTACGTTTTTGTGATAATCTGTTTTGTAGGTAGATTTATTGTGACGCCTGGCTCGATCCTGTGCTTGCAGCCAACATGATCCTTGTGATAACTTCTTGTATCCCAAAGTGCCACTGTACACCGAGATTATTTGTAAAACTTTTAAATGATTTTTGATAAATTTGGGTGTACCTTGGTAGAAAAATCTAGGTGTTACAGCCTCCTCGGGACAGAAACTCACCCTGAACGCGTTAGCCAAATCTGTTAACCACCTCCTACTGATAATGGGGTCCCTGTCCCCATGGAACTCAGGATCTCCACAAGCATGGAATTCCCGAAAAGAAAGAGTGTGAGCTCCAAAGATAGCCATAACCTCCGCATGGAATGCGCCAAACGCTCATCCACTATCTCCGAAACACAACGAGAAATCTCCGATGAGATGAATTCCCGCAACCACTCGCTAATCGGCTCAGCATCCGCATCCAGAACCAGAACCAGAACCACCTCCCTGAGCGCTCATCTCCAAACTGAAACACGACATGCCAAAGATCAACACATAACCAAAAATCCACCTCCCATAAGTTTCTTAGATTCTCTAAGACTCTCTCCGATTCGAGTATGGATCCTGTGCTTTTAGTAGTACGAGCCCAATACTACCTTCCACACCTATCTATACTTTCCTCGACAATCATCCCAAATCCTCTGAGTTACTTCCTCAACATAAGCACCAAAACTCACTAAACCGCACCACTACACTCACTGAAGCATATCCTAGGCTCTCCTGGGTTCCCGAACCTACCTAGCCCTCAGCTGCTGAAAAACTCCTCATAATGCCAGTTAGCCACTTCATGAATACCGTCACATGTAACGAGGCTCGGATAATCCTTTGAGTAAGGGACTCATCCCTACAACGGTTAGGACTCAAACAAGAGCTACGCAATAGGATCAAATTCATCACTCTGAGATTATTCAACCCTTGTCACATGTGACTTAACATATTCACTTAGTAGCTAACTCCCATCACTCCAGATTCCCACAAAGCACAAAGCAAGCAACATTCAGGCAACAAAAATTCTAACCAACATACACTAATTAGACCATTATATTCACTTATCTGGAATCAATTCTAGCATGCAATTCTAAATCTCATACAATCAGCCATATAAATACATCTCTCCTATCATATAATACTGAGTAGATCCTTTTCCCTAATCTAGCATGTAATTCTCATAATGATAGCATATATCATAAATAACATGTAGTGGTATTTTGGGAACCACTTACTTGAGCTCGGCGGATTTCACGCTTCACACTCCTTTCTTTAATTAAAAATTCCTTTGTAATTAAATGTTTATCTTTTAAATTTTTTTACCAAACCCTCAGTTTGAGTCCATGTACACCCGAGAGCATGCCCGAATCCCTCAAACCAAGGCACTGATACCAACTTGTAATGACCCAAAAATCCAAGGTAAAAATTCATTTTTAATACAATTAGAATTCTTTAATAACTTTGTTCAAGACATTAAAAAGCATTTTAAATAAAACAATTATCAGAGTCTAATCCCAAAGATCATATATTGTGGAAAACACAGGGGTATGTGCTGCGATCGTCCCGATCCCTTTCATTTGAAAACTGGAGTACCTGAAACAAAAACTAAAAACCGTTAGAACAAAGCTTAGCGAGTTCCCCAAATACCACATACCATACATATCAAACAATCCATACATGCCATACATAACTGCGATCCATACATATCATTAATATATGATAATCAATAAAGGTGTTATGTGTCGCACATAGTCTTGCCATTATACCACTAGCCACCTCGTGGTCTTTCTTGTCAGGCTGGGGGCCACAATCCTAGGTGTTACAGACAAGTGCCAGGATCCACCTCCGGGTCTTCCATGTAAGCATCACAAAGACAACTAGCATACAGTCTACAACTACTTACTAATAATTGCCAGAGTTTGGACTCTGGTCTTGCATACAGTGTGCCAGGAGCCGCCTCTTGGTCTTTCATACATAATGCCAAGGTCTAACCACCGGGTCTTCCTACAATACATAAACCAAACGGGACGGAATTGGTGCCTTTGGCCTATACGAACAGTGAGGAGACTTACCTCGAATGTAGAAGCTCCTTGAAAGAAAATCCATAGTTGCTGCCCTGTCAACACCTCCGATCTAACATATCAAAATAACACCCAATTAGCAATTGGGTTTCACTCCAATGCCTACTAACTATACCTGGGTAAAATAACCATTTTATCCCTGACCCTCAACATGAACCAAAACTGAGGCCCAAACCAAAAAGATCCACAAAGGCCCATTAATGGCCCAATTTTCCAAATCAAGCCCAATCCTATATGGGTCTTATCCTAAGCCCATATTTTCCTTGAATGCAATTCATATTACCTCAAACACCCTCCCGAGAAAAACTTGGTCAAATTCAACATCATAGCCAAAGTCAAAGTCAACGCTCCGAGTTGACTCAACTCGTCGAGTGATCCTTCAACTCATCGAGTTTGCATCAATCACAGAATCGTGATATCTTGAACCAACTCATTGAGTTCCCCTTTAACTATTCGAGTTCCTCCTTTTTCAACAAAAATCGGGACAATCCCAAACCAACTCGCCGAGTTCCCCTATGAAGTTGTCGAGTTCTTCAGTCAGCGAGCTCACTTAATGCATTAAGCCACTATTCTTCAAACCAAAGCCCCATCTTCCAGATCTAGACTGAAAATACATCTAGAAGGGTAAAGTTTCCAACTTTACCCATTAAGAACCACCCTAAAGTCATTAAGCTCAAACCCTAAACCAAAAAGGATTATGACTTAATCCAAAAAATCATCATATTTTCAAGATAGAGCTCATGAACACAGATTTGGACCTTAAAGGCTAAAAGGTCACATAAAGTCTCCACTTTACTTACATGCATGGACAAATGAAGCTTAAAAGACCAAAAAGAAAAGGCTTAAAGGATGCATGGAACTCTTAGGACCGTAAAGTTGGCACCTTTATGCCATAAAAGCTCCTAAGGACCCTAGATTTGAAAGGGTTTATCCAAATGAGACGTCCAACTCCCAAAAAAACCACATCATTTGGACAAAATCAAGCAAATGAACCCCAATATGAAGATCTAGGAAATCATAAAGCAAGTTTGAGACTTTTTACCAGAAAGATGACGAAAATGAAGCAAGTATTCGGGATCTAGCAGCTCCTTCTTGTATCACCAAGCTTTCCTTTATTCCAAAGGCTTCAAATACACACAAAAACACTCAAAATGGCTCACAATCACTCAAGGATGCCTTAGGGTTTCGAGGTTAGGATTTAGGACAATGGAGACTGGAAATGAGGCTAACTCATGGGGTTTAGGTTGTTTAAATAGTGTGCAAAATCCCAAAATTGAGGTTTCCCAACCCACGTCCAACTCGTCGAGTTGGTCTTCAAGAACATGTGTGACCAACACTTCCAACACGTCGAGTTTAGGCCTTAAACTCGAAGAGTTGGCCTTTAGAAATGAGGTTTTATTTCCATAATTGACCTTATAGATTCCAGATGTTACATATATTAGAGGATATTAACATGGGAAATGGTCAATCGTGTGATCAACTTTGGTTACGTGTTACAGAGCAGTTTTATAAGGGTATGGGTCGAGAACTAGATTTCCGGAACGTCGGACCAATATAATTTAAAATGGAATCTTGTTAACAAACTCATGACACATTGGAACAAAATTTACACAAACTTCAAAAAGTAATGGGCTAGCAGCGAAAGTGAAGCGGGTTTGTTGAAAAATCACACACAACATTCCAAAATAACATGTTGAAGCGTTTTAAGTTCACTCATGTGTGGGAAGCTGTTAAAAGAAGCATTAGGTGGAAGGAGCTTGCAACACATGAAGACATTGCTAATCCGCCAAAAAGAAGTTGAACATCTTCATAATCAAGCTTAAAATAAATATCATCGGATGGTGACATTGGCGTTGATCTTAATGATGATAACGACGACATTGAAGAAATATGCCCACCTCCTCGTCCCGTGGGAAGGGACAAAGCAAAAGCTCGAGGAAAAGGAAAAGCGACATCATCAAATTCTTCAGTTGGAATGGAGCGGTCAACTAGATCAGAGGAAATGATGGCACAATTGAATACAACTTTGGAGAAGCATATGACTGAAACCGTCAGGCTCGTAGAATTTCTGTTGTTGATACAAGATGTGAGACACCTAGACCCCGAAGATCAGGAGGTGGCTAAAATACTGAAGACTTCGATTCGTGAAAAATATAAGCTCAAACGCAATTGAAATTTGGATGTTATGTATTTTTTCTAGGGTTTTTTTTTGTTTTGTTTTTTGTTTTTTGTTTTTTTTTTCATTTCATGTTTTTTTGAAGGTATTTAATGTAATTTTTAATTTCATGTTATTTTTTATTTTTAGGATTCTAAAATGTAAGTTTTAATTTTATGCTATTTTAAATTTTAGTATAGTTTTTATTAAATATTGAAATTAAAAAAAGTTCATAGCTAAAACCATTACCACACCCTAGTTTGTAGGTAAATTTTGTAAAAAATTTTAAAAATTGATGTGACGCCTAAGTGATACCCTTTTACCAATAACAAAAAACACACGACACCTTTTAACCTAATAAGAAGAAAAATTCACATCATCCTTGATTAGATTGGTCCTTTTCCCGCTAGGAACCATAACATGTTATACTATAAGACTAACTGGTACACGGACCACAGTAGGTCTCGTGGTCTAGCTGGCTGTAGCACCTGGTTCTTGGTACACATTTCTTTTTATTTTTATCTAAGTATTTTGCATTTTTGGCCTTGTACTCGGCGAGTTGAAGGACCAACTCGCCGAGTAGAAGTGAGATGGGACGCGAGATTTAAGCGATGGACTCGGCGAGTCAGGTCCCAGACTCGATGAGTAGACGCTGTCTGGACAAAAACCCTAATCTAAGGGTTTCCACCCTATTTAAACAATGTTATGTTGAGCAAAACGTCCCTTATGCTCCCAAAACGCCTCTCATTGAAACCCTAGCCGTTATAGAAGCAATCTAAGCCTTACTGGTGGATTTTGGTGCTTGTAGTCTTAAGAAGGAAGGAGAAAAGCTTGAGGAAGCAAGTAGAGACCAAGGGAACCCGAACTTTTTGCACTTTCTACAACTTATTGAAGGTAAAAAGCTGTAACCTTGCTCATTCATTTGTTAGATCCATCTTTGGGGAGATTTAGGGCTTTTGGTGGCTAACCATGTTTGCAAACATGATTGGGGGTTAAAGCTTCTGAATCACATCATTAAAGAAGTCACTAGGCAGATTTGGGTTGCTTTCGCACCCATGAAAGGTCCCATGCACCATAGGAGCTTGTTTTATGTCTTTTTGAGCTCAAAGTTCCATGCAAGCATGTAAAGTTTGTAACTTTATGTGCTAGATCAATTATAGAATCTTGTATCTATCTTTTGATCAAAGGTTGTACATCAGAAATCGAGGATTTAGAGTGTGGACGTGACCGACTCGGCGAGTCCGTTCTTGGACTCGACGAGTCCGAGGCTTTGAGCCCCATATCTGCTGAGGGTCAAAGGAACCCAGTTGAGTGTTAGAAGGGTTGTAACCGGACATGAAGAGTTACCCAATGCATTGAACGTGATTTTAGACCTGGAGTTCATGGGAGTCGGCGAGTCCAAGGCAATCTTCTTAAGGATGAAGATGAACTCGACGAGTTGTTCATCAACTCGGCGAGTCGAGGGCAGAACTTGTTCAACAGATGAAGGTGAACTCGACGAGTTGTTCATCAACTCAGAGAGTCGGATGAGGTTTATACAATGTTCATATGAGAGAGGACTTACTGAGTTGACGGCCCAACTCGACGAGTCGGGTCATGGATGAGGATGAGTAAAGGGTGAGGGACTCGGCGAGTTGACGGCACAACTCGGCGAGTCGGGTCAACTTGAAGTTGACTTTGACTGGACTTGGACTGACCCTGTTCAGGATTGTACTTGCTGGGTGTTGACTTGAAGGTTGTCGAGTTGGGATTGAGGATTCGACTTGTGCACCGAGGATAATTCAAATACTGCACGCCATTGATGTGAGTTACCTTCTAGTAGGGGTGGGTCTAAGGCCACAATGTCGGCCCACCATTATTCTTTAATTTTACTCACGATTCCTCTCTTATTTTATTCACAATCACATACTTGTTTTGCTTAATCATTCAAAACCAATAGCTTCTAAAATGATGAATTGGTCAGAAAATGAAGAAGAGAACTTAGCACTAGCATGGGTGGCGGTTTCAGAAGACCTAGATGTCATAATGTTTGGTGATTTTTGGGTAAAAGTAGGAAACATAGGTTGTCGAAGTCGTAGTCTTGATCAAATATGTTCAAAGTTTCGCGATATAAGGGTTAAATGTCATGAATTCGATGAAATTTATAACTTTGTTATAAACAATGTACACGAAGACGCACCATTTGTTGTGGCCAAACATCAATATGAAGACACAACACGCATATCGTTTAAACATGTCAATGCTTTGCAAAAATTGAAGGAGTGCCAAAAATCCAGTCATCGGAAAAATAAGGTTTAAAAAACTAGTATAAGTTGTTTGTGTTTGTATTTTTATGTTTTTATCTATTTTATTTTAAGTTGTATGTTTTAAATTAACGTAATGTTTGTTTTATTGAATAAAATACTAGTTTAATTTTATGTTAAAAAGAATTACTTATAATATAATCTAAATTTTTTATTTTATTAAAAAAACCTTATAATACAAAAGTTATTTTAAATCATTTTACGATGATAATTAAATGAGCAATGAATTTTATATGTTAAATCATTTTATGTTTCAAATGTAAACTTTTATTTATATGTATTTTTATATAATTTTATATCTTTCAAAACTTATAACATTTTTGTCAAGAAATTCTCATAACTAATTTATTTTTGGAAACGACAAATATATTATAAAGACCTCATGATAGCAACTAGCTAGAACATAAGCAAAGTACAAGGAGAATACAATATGACAATTTTAACAAAATGGAGATATGCTCCAATCAATCCACCTATTTATAGTCTGAGTAGTTCTATATTTGAACCACACATATGCTTGGGAGATCACCTCATCTGCAATCTTTGCAGGCGACGCAAAAATTTGCTTAAATACCATATTATTCCTTGTTATCCAAATGAACCATAATAAGCCATACATCATTGTATTGAACCTTTCTTTTTTGCGGGGACAGTTGCCCCAATTTGCCATGAAATTTAGTAATTTTGTCATGTTGTTGAAAGACATTGTCACACCCCAAAACCAAGAACGGCGGAAACGTTCAGGGGTGGAGGACATCATGTACAGTATCACAACAATGCAAAGTAGTAAACAAGAAACAACATCATCCATTGCATTAAAAGTAAATATTTAATACATGTGTGTTCTTTAATAGTAATCAGACACCAAAATATGAAATCAAAATAAAAGACGAGTCTTGTCTGTGCTCCATCTTCTCAAAACCTGGTCATCGTACATGTCTACTGGTGACCTGAGAATGCAAGTTATTTTGAAAGCGAGTATCAGCATAAGGCTGGTGAATTCATAAGTATTTAAGTGTCATTGTCTTGTTTTGGAAAGCTGTTATGAATGCCATGTAAATCTTTGAATGAAACAATTGATATAAGTATGAAAAACCCTAGAAAATCCCATATTTCCTATCAGTATAATAGAAGTCTTCTACCAAGACCCGAATGTTTTGAAAGTAGTCTTCTACCAAGACCTGTATGTTTTGCTGTAACAAAGATGGTTTTCCCTTTTATGACTACTATTAACAATATATAGTCTACCTCCTCATTTATGTGAATGTAACACAAAATAAAAGTAATAGGGAAAATATAACCATAAAAGTATTATCCTTTTGCATTAGGATAAACGTGACATCGCGACTGCCGAAATGTATAACCTTGAACATCCGTAGATTGTTCATTTTCCTTTGTAGCTAGCAACAGGTTTAAGGAATGGTTAGTCCCGTAAAGGTACTCCTTATATAAGTATTAACCGTAGGCATCTGTAGATGTTCATTACCTCTGTTGCTAACAGGTGGGTTCCGGAATGGTTAGTCCTGTCAAGTTATCCTTTTGAACTAGGATAGGCAGAACAATTTACACATAATGTATTAGTAACTCATCATAGTGAATCTAGGTACAAGTATCCATGTAAGTGTATACAAATAAATGTATATATGTAAATGTATTCATGTAAGCGTATCGATGTAGATGTATTCATGTAACATGTAATGTATAGTATAGACTCATGTATGAACTGACTCTGGTGTAATTCCTTGTAATAGGAATAATGTTTTGTATCTCCTAACTATCCCTATAATAGTTAACTGGAAGGTAATTGATTGTCCAAGCAGGTTTATACACCCTTGCTACACAAGAGTGTAGGAAACTGAATGAAGGATGAAAGCTATCATATCAATACATATATAAGAACATAAGTGTATAGATATAGTTTTGTTCAAGAAGATGAAAATGGTTTTGTAAGACATTTAAGAGTTTTGAACAATAATTAACAATGAATTGATGTCATTTTAATAAACATTTCAAAAAGTAATACATTTGATAACAAAGTATTTTTAAGATAGAAAACCATTTCATACATCACATTTTGAAGCATGTGAAATCAGTTGGATGAAAACACAGTTATAAATCACATGTGATTGATTCTATAGCATGTTGTTTTCTACTTGTATTCCTCCCCCCCCCCCCCCATTAAAGTATTTATAAACATTTGAAAACATTTAAAAGGTTAATTTAGGGGTATGAACTCACCTGTAGTGAGTGGATTGGATTGAAGTGTCGGATACGATGCTAGGTGACAAGTGGAGACTTGTACACACACAACGAGCCTAGTTATCATATAATCAATATATAAATAACTAATTAGGCACTTTATCTCTAATAATTTAAGTTAAGACACTATAGAACATGGTAACACTTTGTTTCAAGTGTTAAAGATCACAAGGGTTGCAACCAGGTGTTGTAGGGCATAGCTAGTGAGTTTGGGGTTCAAGGAACACTCCATTAGGGAGTTTACGGTCTTATGGTCACTAGAAAAAGGGTTTACGGTCGTAAACCCTTGGGTTTATGGTCGTAAGCTCACCCCCTTTGTGACCAATTGTTGTTTAAAGCTTTCTAAGCCAATCCAAGCATCCCTACTTCATGTTTAAGCCTTAGGAAGTCTTGTGTGGCATCAAAATACTCCTAAATGGAGTTTACGGTCTATGGACCATTTCTCCATGAGTTTAC